GGCAATAGGTGTGTTCAGCTACTAAGGTGTCTGCTTTTTGGCCCTTTTCATAGGTAGAGCAAGGAATTATATGCATGTATACACACACACACACACTTCTACATACACAATACATATCCACATGTTCTCATTCATTTACATATATACATATATATACCTGTGTGTGTGTATGCATCTATATAGATATATGCAAATATGCCTGTTATAGAAATGGTGGGCTCAAGTTGATATCTTCAAATTAAGTCTGTCCACGTAAAGGTATGTCTTGCCTTCCTCATTCTACATTTGTATTTCCCCTTCCTTCACAGTCAGAATCCTGCTTCTAAACAACCTCAGCACATTTATCTATTTGCTCAAATCTGTTATACATCCACAATAGTTTGCAAATTGTTTTGCCTATCTCTACGTAAAACAAACCTGCTGAAGAGAGTTCAGGATTTGTTTGGAGTTCTCCACACTCTGCCCAAGACTGAGGTTACATAGTCAAATTATATGCACCTAAGATACTGGAATGAGCCCTTCTGTGTCTCTTCACCAAAATTATTGGATATTCATTTGCAATTCAATTGTATTCATTTTGTTTCACTTTTATTTTTTAAAAAACAGATTTTACTTATTTTTAGAGAGAGGGAGAGAAACATCAATCAGTTGCCTCTAACCCCTAATTGGGGACCTGGCCCACAACCCAGGCAGGCATGTGCCCTGACTGGGAACCAAAGTGGTGACCTTTCAGCTTGCAGGCTGGCACTCAGTCCACTGAGCCACACCAGCCTCTGCTTGTTTCAATTTTAGATTTTTCTTTTCATTCCTCTTTTTAAAATGTGTCGAGTGTTAACATGCTTCCAAGATTCTAAACTATCCAAACAGGCATAGAACCACCCTGTACCACCACCACTTTTGCAGGCTGCCAGCTTTACTCCGAAGTGTTTCTGTTTTTCAAGACAAATCAGTGTATTTAAATTCCTCTCGTTTCTTACAAAAAATATAGTGGACTATATTCTTTACACTCTGCTGTTTTTTCCAGTGTCTCCTGGAAATCATATCAGTTCATAGAAATCTCATTCTTTATTATAACTTAATTGTACTCCTTTGCGAATACATTTTATAGATTACTCCATCAATTTCTTTTGCTTGGACATTATGTACTTTCAAACATTTACTTCCTCTTGTACTTTTAAGTTCTTTTGACAACTTCCTGTGACACCTGGTAGAACTGCAGGCCCTTTCCCTTGGGAGTTTGGGGAGGCTTCAATTTGTGGTGCCCTTCTCTCTGTGAGAACACCTCATGTCCAATTTATAATGGTCAGGACTCCTCTTAAGGCTCAGAGCCCCCATATAATTTTAATCTCTACTCAAGACCCTGACCCCCTTTTGTCCATCTTCCTGTAGCACTGACTCACTTTTCAACTCCGGCAAATTTGCATATCTGGCAGTCAGAACACACACACCTTGTTTTCTCATCACTTAGCATTTTTGAATGAGGGTTACCTAGTATAGTGGGAAAAGATGATTTGCATCCCAGCTCCATCCCTGCCTTGCTGCGTGATCTTGGGCAGTTACATAACCTCTGAGAGTTTCCTTTTCATGCCTGTTCAGGGCTTGGATATTTTGTGAGGAATAAATGAGAAGACATTGCCCTGGTTTGTTGTTTAACAAAACCACTAAGTCTGGATGGACTACAGTTAAGATATATCAATGTCTACACATACACACTACACACACAATGCGCATGGAGAGTGTATTAATTTCCTAAGACTGCTGTAACAAAATACCACGGATGGGGTGGCTTAAATAACAGATTTATTTTCCCACAGTTCTGGGGTCCAGAAGTAAAAGATCGAAGTGCTATTGAAGTTGAAATCTCTTTCTGGCTCATGGATAGTTGCCTTCTGTCTGTGTCTTCACATAGCCTTTCTTTTGTGTGCATAGGGAGAGACAGAGCCCTCTGGTGCCTATCCCTTATCTTAGAAGGACAACAGTCTTATGAGTTTAAGGGCCTCATCCTTATGATGTCATTTAACCTTAATTACCTCCCTGAAGACCCTATCTCCAGTATAGTCACATTGGGATTAGGGCTTTGACATAAGAATTTGGGAAGCAGGGGACACAATTCAATCCATAAGAGGGGAAAAAAGCCAACATATTCACAGTGTTAGTATCTGAAGAATGCAATTATGGGTGGTCATAATTTTCTCCTCTTCATGTATATATAGCTGTGTGTGTATATTCTTGTATTTTCTAACTTTTTGCAGTGAGCATTTCTTAATGTCTGGAAAGGTTGTTTGAAACAAGTTGCTAAAATAGCAACACTCCATCTCCCTGGTGTAGCCTTTTCCTGGCAGGTGTTCCTTGGGGGTCTGTTGCTCTGGCAACAACTTACTCTGCTCGTCATAAGGAACCCAGGGTTCCCTGAACTCAGGCCAGTCTCTGCCCATGGGTAAGTACAGGTGCATTTGGGAGGAGCTTTATTCTCTCCCAAGTCCCTTCTGCTGCATTAAAAAAAAGAAGACAGACTGAGATGTTCTCTGGGCACAGCTGGTCACCTGGCTAGGATGGTAGTGTCCTATAAAATAAGGCACCTGAGGCCTGGAGAGTGGGAGTGACCTACCTACAACCACAGTGAGTTAGACTCAACAGTCTTCCAAATCCTTGAGCAGTTTTGAGGCTTTTTTTGTTTTTCCTTTTTTTTTTTTTGTGCTGACTTTTTTTTTTGAGTCTCAAAGGGTTCCTCCAAGGAACTGCCAGAATTAAGGGCTGCCAGAATTAATGTGGTAAATTCAGAGTCATGTCTATTTAAGATTGAGGGGTTCCTGTTGGCTTCTCCCCTTTTTGTCCACTAGATCCTACCCCTGGCCACTTTGTATTTCTTCTTCTGGGTAAAACTAGCATTTATCTTCACCTTTTTCTAAGTTTTATGTTTTCATTTGCCTCAAATAGCCCAAGTGAATGATCATTTCCCTTTTGGGTACAGTGAGAACTGGGCGTAGCCCAGACCCTGATAGTGTGCTGGCTCGTTTTAACATCCTGTGGTTTATGAATGTAGCCGTGTGGGAACAGAAAGAGCTTTGGTAGGGGCTGACCTCTGGTCCTGGCTGTGCCTCAAACTTACCTTGAAGCCTCAGATAGTCTCTCTTCTCTCTGGACCTCAGTTTCCTCATCAGAAAATGGTGGTTTTGGATCCAGTTCCTCAAGGATCTTCAGTTGTGACAAGTCAGACAAAAAGCAAAATACTCATGACAGTTTCATACCCCTCATCACGAGCTTTCTTTGCTATTTTCTTGAAGAGCCATGGGTGTCCTGTCCCACCCTCCTTGTATGAGGCAGTTCTCTATGTAGATTAGAAGTGTGGATTCTGGTTCCAATCAAAAGGGCTCAAATTCAGACTCCCCGACTTACTTGCTAACTTGGCTTGGGCAAGTTGCTTACATCTCTATTTCATTATTTATAAAAATGGGCATATTAATAATTGCCTCCTGGGGCTGTTGTGAAAATGAATGGAGATAATATATGGAAATATCTGGCTTGGAATGAGCACCATTAAATTATATCTGTTGTCATCATTGCTACTTGTTATCCTTCATTGGAAAGGAGAAAATTTTGTGCCTCTCTCTTGAGATTTCTGAGGACAGTGGAGCTACAGATCCTGGGAAAATCTCAGGGTGCCAGAAGCTGCTGCTCCTGGCCTCCTGCTTTTTATACTAAGATAATTGTTGGAGAGGGCTATGGCTTCTAGAAGATTTTTTTTTAAAAATTCCAGTTATCTCTAATCCTCTTGAGTGCTACACATCTCAAGGCTTGGTTGATTTGATTTCTGTCATTTGTTCCTCTCAGTTCTACCCAGGCAACATCGTCTCCCACCTGCTTTTTAAGATGAATGTCAGCTGATCTCATATATCAGTTTCGGAGTTCCTAAGAGGGATCTGGCTTCTTTCACTGTAAACCTTTGGGGCCCTATTTCTGTCTTTCTCATTTACCCCTGTACCGCATCTGATGAGTATGAATGCTGAGGGAGATTACCCAACTTGCTTACGGTCACCAGATAAGTTAGCGGCAAAGCCAAGAAAGGAGGTCAGGTCTTTCTGTATCCAATTATAGTATCTTTCACCTGCTGCCACCACATTTTTCTTAAATTGGTAAGTAATTTAGTTAATATTTCTGTGCATGACTTTCCTCTCGAATTTAGATTCTCTTAGGGTAAATGCCAAAAATGTGAAATTATTGAGTCAAAGGGTATACATACTATTTTTTTTAAGGATGTTAATACATTTTGCAAAATCATTTGGCACGGTTGTCTTGGGAGTCTCACAAGAATCACATTTCGCCCGAGCTGGGTTTAACTGCTGCTTGCAGGCCAGCCTGAGAGCCCGGGGACTCGGGGTAGGAGAGGAGCTGTGACTGGTCTCCAGCAGGTTATGCACGAGCATCCCGCCAGCCCAGTGAGATTCTCACATTTAGAGGTGCATGCTTTTGCATGTGCCATGGCCCCTGCACACATACTGATAACTTCATTTGGTGCTCTCCCACAGACACAGCCACCTGCTCCAACACTGCAGAGACCATTGGCTGTGTTGGACTCATAAGGGGTGCTATGTCTGTCTCCATCATGCTGTGCAAATACTGTGTACTGGACTTACAAGTGATTAAAAGGATTTCCAGAGACTATTTTGATTATATGAGATTCTGACTTTAAACCTCACCCCCTTGGCCCTCTAATGAAATATAACTATAGGGCACTATGCTCAAGCCATTTGCACTGTACCCTCACCCTAGTAATCTCAGAGTCTGAGTGGCGCCTTCTGCTTCATGGTCATTGATTATGACAAAATGCCCTTTTGGGGTCACACAGTGCCTGCATCTCTGCCTTCCTCTCACTGAAGTTAAGTGCTGCAAGAAAACTTAGAAGTATCACGGGGATCCGAGGCCTCAGGTGGTCCTAGTGATGTGGTCCAAATCAAACAGTATAAATGTCCAAGTGACAGCTTGTCTGTTTCTTCTTGCAGTTGGTCACCACAGAAGAGCACTTCCTCAAAGACAGTTTGTACAATGAAGGAATCCTAATTGTGTGGGACCCATCTATTTACCATTCAGATATCCCAAAGGTAAGTGAGTGTCCTTTAGAAACAGCAACCGAGTCTCCTGTCTGCCTATAGTTTTTCCTGAGTCCCTGGGTTTTTCAAGTCATGGCTGACCTGGGCCATTCCCAAGGACTGCCTGTTTCAGTTTTAGGGCACCTGACTTCATCTGGACTGGCAGTTCAGAAGTATCCCTGCCCCATACTTCCAGTTTTCAGAATTCTCACTTCACTCCCATAACAATGTGAGAAAGTAGATAGAAGCATGGTTGGTCCCATTTTACACATAAGGAAACTGGAGTGTAGAGAAGGAAAATCACCTGCTCTAGGACTTGATTTCCTAAGCAAAGGACCAGATCTGTAACATCAACTCATTCAGGGAAGAAGACGGGAATTTCAAGCCTGCTGGACTCTCAGCCTGTCTGGGATGGCCCTCTCACTCTTTGTCATGCAGGTCAGTTGGCCTCTCTCTCTGATGTGTGCTGCAGTGGCCACAGGAGGACGGCTTTAGGGAGAATGTTCCTGGGACACTGAACTTTGAACTTGGACCTAGCAATAGCTGACAGGCTCTGGTGATCGTTTGCACCCTCTCTACCTCCGTTTCCACAGTATTGCCCTGGTCTAGCTTAAAACTGAAATTTGCCCAGGGTTAGGAAAAAGACCCTGGCCCACAGTTGTGACAAGTTGTGTCCTAGTTTTCACCCCTTTAAAAAGGAGAGTGGGATGGTGCCAAAGGCCCCTTTCTGCACTGGTATCATTCCCAGATTCTATGATCTTAAAGACTGAAGGTGTCCTAGGGCCACCAAGCTCAAAATTCCCTGTGAGCACAGGCTACATAGTGGGTCCCCCTGCTACCGAGGGAGAGTGGTGATGTGTGATGTGGAAGAGAGGTCTGGAATCTGTTCCTAGGAAGGTGCTGTGTCTCTGGATTCTGCCTTGTGATTCTTGACCTCCCCGGTGTTCTGGCCTATTTCTCTCCTAAAACCATTTCCTTCTTTTTCAGTGGTACCAGAATCCTGACTACAAATTCTTTGATAACTACAAGAGCTATCGTAAGCTGCATCCTGATCAGCCCTTTTACATTCTCAGACCCCAGATGCCTTGGCAGCTGTGGGATGTCATTCAGGAAATCTCCACAGAGGAGATTCAGCCAAATCCCCCATCCTCTGGGATGCTTGGTGAGTCCACGTCTGGGGAAAGACCTTTCATGTTTGTTTCTAGGAGAGGTTACCTTTCTTCTGGGATCTCATTCATTCATTCATTCATTCACCAAAAAGTTGCTGGGTTTTTGCTGGGTTTGTTCACTATGTCAAGTTCTAGCTAAAATACAGAGATTAACAAGAGAATCCTTTTGTGCTGGGAGAAACTTGGTTCTTCTTGCTGATGCAGTAAAGAAGCAAGTCTATTAGCATGCAAGCAGGGTTTATTGGTGATAGTTCTCATGGAAGAGAATGGGACTAGCTAAGGCGGGGGGCGGTGAAAGGCATAGGTTCAGGGCATGGCAAGATAAGAGCAGCAAGAGCATCAGGTCCTTTGTTCTGAGGACTTAAATAGCTGACAGGATGGAGGTGAAGAAGTTACATATTGATTGACAGGTAAAGGTGGTACCAGCTTTCCCAGGCCGACCTGACTACCCAAACTTAGATATGCGTGGAGTCTATTAGTCCGAATCCTTATCTTGCTTCAAACCTCATTTATTCATCTTGTTGCAAAATAGGTATGCGACGGGAGGCAGTTAATTAAAGTAGAGGCAGTTACCCAAAGTTATTTATGGGCTCTTTCTGTAAGCACTGGGGACTCCCTTGTAAAACAGTGACCAGAGGCAGGCAATTAACTGAAATTGTTTTATAGGCTTTTTCTTTGGACACTGTTGACCCCTTCCTCTTCCCGCTTCTAGGCCTTGGGATAAATACACAGTTTCAAAGGCTTTCTTTCTCAGATAGTGGAAATGATACATAGAGTGTCAAGGGCTCCCCACCTCCCTTATTAGCATGGTGTTTCTTGTGATGTTCGGAACCCCTGGCAATATTATCAGACCAGGCTCAGGACTGCTGAGTTGGTGGGTAGAACATATCTCCCTCCTCCTGCCTGCCTTGGTTTGCTATCTATCCTACCCAACACTTTTTCTTTAGAGTGCTCAGTCGGTTGTCTGAGACCACATTCAATTCGTGCCAGCAGGGAGCAACCACTTTGTGCCACAGGAGAGAGGACCCCATCTAGGTGGACAGTCCGAGAAGGTCGAGGAGGAATGGATTTGGGTCAGGCTAGCGAGAGGGGTGGATATGGCAAGTGGAGATGAAGTAGAGGAAAGCACAGACGAGGGGAGGCAGGAACACAGGAGGGGCAGTGCTGGGTCAGGCTGCAACCGAAAGGGGTGCCAAAACGTTCAGTAATAAGATAGTTCTTAATATAGTATCTTTTAAAAAATCACAATTAATACAAAATGTTAGGAATGAAATATCAAAATTTTAAATAGAGGATCAGTAATAATATCATGCTGAGCCATATTGAAATCTGAGAGTAAAGAGAGAATCAATGATCCTTTGTTGAAAATCTCAAAAAATTGTTCACCCCAGTGAACTCCTAGCTGTGGCCCTGATAGAGTGAGCAGTGAGGATTAACTGGGTTTGGGAGCTCTGATGAGAGCTGTGGGAGCTGATGGGAGGTGGGCTGGGGTCAGAGTACAGAGGCCCCTGAATGCTAGCTACACACTTTCTTCTTGGACTTTCTCTAGTCCTCTTGACCCTTGTGGAATGTCTGCCCTCCCTCCCTTTCACTTTAAATTTGGCTGGATGATAGGCACTGCCCCAGGCTCTAGGCCTTGCATGTGTACAAAAAGGGCAGCTCTGTCCTCTGGGCCCCTGCAGGGACCACTGTCTCCTGATGGCCCCAGCCACTCATCATTGTGTAATCTGCCCACCTGCTTCCCTTATTAGAATGCAAACTCCCTCAGGGTGGGGACTGTGGTCGACTCATCCTTCCTGTGTCCCGCCCAAGATAGCCCTTTGGTAGAGGTTCCCTGAGTAACCGAACAAATACATGTTTAATATTAGAGGTACTCCTTAGAGAACAAGATGGGCCCACTTCTCATTTCACATCTTCATATTTTTCTCTTCAACTTTTAGGTGGGTGCATCTGGGGCTCATCCTGGGGTCCTTTTGAGCAGAAATAGTTGAGAAGGCATCGTGGGGAACTTATTTTCTCATCACTCTACTGCTCTGCCTTGGTGCCCCTCCCCGCCCCCACCCCCTCTTTCCACCAGCAGTCCCCCCTTCTCACTCAGCCCTCACAGCCACAGCCCCTACTAGGCCCCACCCCCGTGCTAGGCCCCACCCCAGTGTTAGGCCCCACCCCAGCGCTCCCTCCAGGAGGTTTCCTGGAGCCCTGGCTCATAGGAAGGAAGTGCTCTGTACTGTCATGTCCAGAAGCACCCCTGCTGTGCCTACACCCTCCCCCCTCCCCTTAATTGCAGAGATGTCTTTCTTCCCTCATTGGACCAGGGTCAGCCAGAGGGCAGAGGGAGGGCTCTCCCCACATCTGATTCTTCTGGAACAAAGTCACTGCTAGCAGTTTATTGTGTTGTTGTTAGCGGGATATTTATGGTTGACAAAAGCGGGTCTTAGAGCCATGAACTTACTACATCCTAACAATAGCCTGCATGGTTGGAGGAGTAGGTAGATCACCCTCTTGGGGCAGATGATGTCCCTGAGGCCCAGAGAAGTACGTGTCCTGCACAAGATGTCTGAGCTAGGTGGGGACGAGCATGGGTGGCAGCAGCAGTCTCTTGCCTCTTGTTGGTTTGCATCTCAGCCTCTGCACCACCTCCCAGATTGTGCCCGCCTGGCCTCACCCCCTTGGCTCCAGGCTCCTGCCTGAGTGAGCAGAGCCCATCAACACCCACCTTGGCGTGCTCCTGTTCCAGTGCCCCTCCTCCCAGCTGGGGAATGAACAGTTTTCCTCTCCGCACTATTTCCTGCAAGCACAATAAGAAACACCTTTCCCAAATAGCACCATCTAAAAAAGTGCTAGAAAGTATTATATATGTGTGATGGTACTGTTACAGAGCCTATGAAGTTCTGAAACGGATGTGTGGGCCTGATCGCCTGCCACCAAGAAGTATGACTCCCAATGCCAGAATGTGGCGAAAAGGAAAGGCATTGTTTATTTAAAAGTTATATAGATTTGGAATAATGGCAGAATTCTGCCATTAAGTTCCACTCCCTTTAAAACACCTACAAATACACACATACTCCAGCCTCCCTTTCGCCAAATCAGGCCAGTTTCAGAATATGCCAGTCAGAGGTACCCTCTTTCAGGGAAAAGAAAACAAAAGAAGTCTAAAGCTTAACATTCCCTCTGTCTCAGTTCAGCATTCCCTCGCTTCTCCCGGTCACCCGTGCCTGGCTAGGCAGGATCTGCAATTCCCAGTGTCATCATCATCTGTGCCACCATGTTCTCCAGCTCTTAATCCAAAATGCACCCTTTCAACCCTCATGACCAAGACAGAGGATGACTGCCTGTGCTTAGTTTAAATACTCACCCGAACTTCCTGTGTCTCACAGAGGCTCCTGCCTCTCATGGGGCTTCCTGCTTCTTGCACAGGTGCGGTAAGCTTTCCCATCCCCCAAGCCAGGTTTGTGGGGGACTTCTCCATTTTGGGGAAACCTCTAGTTCAACACCCTGCTTCAGTACTGTCTTCTCAGTCACATTGTCCTCTTTCTTCATACAGCTTATTCACATTGGTAAATTCACTGACTGAAGGATGGAGTCCTTCAGTCTGCTAGTGTTTAGGGAGGGCCTACCACACACCAGGCCTTGGCCTATGTGCTGGGGACACAAAGATGCATCTGGCTCAGTAACCTGCAAGGAACAGCCTGCCAGTTTGGCTTACCAGGGGGATTCAGGTTAGAATCATAGTAGTAACTAGAAACTGCAGCTAGACATCTCCCCAAATTTGGGGCCATGAGCAGTGGACTCACTGGGCAGACCTCTGAGGTGTGGCATGGGTTGTCAGGCAGGACTTACCTCTGCTTCCCTCCCCAGGTATCATCCTCATGATGACGTTGTGTGACCAGGTGGATATTTATGAGTTCCTCCCATCCAAGCGCAAGACTGATGTGTGCCACTACTACCAGAAGTTCTTCGACAGCGCCTGCACAATGGGCGCCTACCACCCGCTCCTCTTTGAGAAGAATATGGTGAAGTACCTCAACCTGGGCAAAGACGAGGACATTTACCTGCTTGGAAAAGCCACACTACCTGGTTTCCGGAGCATTCGCTGCTGAGGAGCCCTCACGCTTCATTGGGCATTTTACAGCCCATCTCTTGCCACCCTGGGCCTGGGGACACCATGTTCCTGAACAATCCCTGCCTGCTCCTTCCACTCCAGGCCTTCTGTCAGCAAGAGCCCTATGCTCCAGGAACCCAGGGCAAAGAACTGCCCTATGGCCATAGATGTGTGTGAGCCCAAAGCCTCCTGCCACACATGCACACACACACACCTAGCACTCTTTCCAGACAGAGTCCTCCCCTCCTTCCACATGGGTAAATGCAAGACCCACCTTCCCTACCAGGGCTGCCAAAGCTGGGCTGTTTTTTTTTGCCTGAAGGGTGTTATTCTCACAAATCAGCACTCTATTGCTTGAAATCTGCACCTAGACATTGATTTCATGCTTTAAACAAATTATCTCAAGTTATGATTGTGCCTGGTGAAGGCTGGCTCTGGGGAAAGGGGGGCAAGTAAGTGGTACAGGGTATAGGAAACATGCTGCTCGGTTCCTCCAGAACAGTGGTGCCCCTAAGGTCTGTGACCCTGGGACAGGCTGTGTTCCTGTCATGCAGGCTGGTTTGGCTGGTCCTTAGCCTGGGTGCTTATGTGCAAAAGGTCTTGGCGAACTCACGTTCCTTTCCACATGGAGACGGAGGGGCAGAAACGTACAGTCCCCATTCTGAGGTTGCTCTCAGTTCAGTGGGAGTGACAGACACGTGGGGTGCAGAGACCTTAGTACTCCGGGGGCCTGGAGAGGGCTTGCTCTGTGGTCTGCCGGTGCACCCGGAGAGGAGAGGTACACACTTCCTGTGTCTGTGGTCCACAGGGGGCTTCACAGAGCTAACTAAGGTCACAGAGTGGGCTTCAGAGGAAGAAGAGAAACATGCCAAACAGATTTTCCTGGAGTCATTTAAGTTGTGTTTTCCTTCCTGCCTTGATTACCCATATTTATTCTCTAAGGCCTGCCTGAATTTACAGGCTCAAATTATTTTTTGATGAAAACCCCAATCCACATTTGAGGGATCGAGTGCAGACTCACGGCAGATTCCAGACAAGAATGTTGCCAAAACCCTAATTTCTCCAGGCTCAGCTTGGTTGGCCCTGACCCTGTCCTACTAGCTGGGTTTGTACACTGTGTTCACCTTTTCTTTTTTAATGCCCACTCCCACATCTCCCCTACCTGCCATCTTGGGTTCCCCCTTTAAAGTGGTCTTTTCCCTCCCAGGTTACTACTAAGCATTTTTTCCCTTAGGAGTATCCTGACCCAATTTCTTTGACCTTCATGGGCCTTCTGTGAAAGGTCTCTCAGGGAGTGGGGATGTGATTCCCCAGAGCTTAAAGTCGCTCTCAGAGGTCAGAACCTTAGAGACTACGACTAATTCTCACTAGGTGGATCAGATGGCCTTGCCCTCTGTCTGTCTAGTGTTCAGAGAGGCCCTACCATGCACCAGGTCTTGGCCTCCATGCTGGAGATAGAGCTTCACAACAGAAGCCCCTCCACTGCACTGCAGACAGGTTTTCTAGATCTACCCCAGGCCATGGACCCATCAGTCTATGGCCTGTTAGGAGCCAGGCCACACAGCAGGAGGTGAGTGGCAGGGAGCAAGTAACGCTTCATCTGTATTTACAGCTGCTCCCCATCACTCACATTGCCACCTGAGCTCTGTGTCCTGTCAGATCAGTGGTGGCATTAGATTCTCATAGGGGCACGGACCCTACTATGTGTGAACTGCACATACAAGAGATCTGGGTTGCATGCTCCTTGAAAGAATCTAATGCCTGATGATCTGAGGTGGAGCTGAGGCAGTGATGCTGGCAGTGGGGAGCAGCTGCAAACACAGATTATCATTAGCAGAGAGGTTTGACTGCACAGAGACCATAATAAATTGCTTGCAGGCTCATATGAAAACCCTATCAATGAGTGGCAAGTGACAATTAAGCTGAATCTGGTTGGAGGTTATAAAGCCATCCCCACCACCTAGTCTGGAAAAATTGTCTTCCATGAAAGCAGTCCCTGGTGCCAAAAAGATTGGGGACCGCTGAGGTAAAGAACTCACTCAACATTACTGAGTAATGCTGTAGAGCCAGGCCTCCTAGCCCCAGGCTTCTGAACTTGGGAAGCTGGACCCTCATGCTCAAGGTCCTCTACTGTTTGAGCTTGGGACCAACATCCTGGGAGGTGGAGTACTCATCTATGGCAAACGGCTGGGCTTTGAGAGGCAGTGAACAGAGCCTGGAGCAGGAAGCCCTGGGTTTTCAAACTGAAGTTCCCCTGTTCACAGCTTTGCCACCATGGGCAAATTCTCCTGTCTGAGCCTGTTTCTACATCTGTAAAGTGGGGGCCATGGGCCTATTTCACAGGGCTATGGTGAGGGTCACATGGAACACCTGCTCTGACCCCCATTCCTGGCACCTGACAGGTGTTTAGTACGTGGCAGTTTCCTTCCTCCCCTTTGTAAGGACCTGCTCTGTTCTCACTCTTGGGCAGCTCCCTGCTTTGAAGGAGGCTAGAACTGGGGCCCTGACCTTAGGTAATTAAGTGTCCTACTGAGAGATGACAACTGTTTTGTTTGGAACACCCAGGAAATTATCCGAGGCAGTGGATGGGGCAGAACATGCCCCTCCTCCTTCCTGCCTGCATCCCAGTTCTGATTCTGCTTGGGAATGGGGGAAGGAGTGCTTGAACCGCTAAATGCTGTGGGAAACTTGTCTTGTCTGCCTCTTGGGGTCCATGAGTTCTTGACTTGCTTTTTATTCTTAGTTGATACACTCATTGCAATCTTTGAATCATGAACAGGGAGTGCAGAGGAAGGTGTCATTCCACCAGCAGGGATGGATGTTGGTGTGGACACTGAGACAACACTGGGTAGATTCTAGCTTTTAGTTATTAATATAAGGGGTCAAATTAATTTAAGTGTAATTCTGTGCTCTCTATAGACATTGGTAAAATGCAAATATTGTTGGTCTGTCAAGATGTTTAATATTTGTCATAGATAACTTAAAAATTAGGAAAGCCTCTGTTTCTAAGTGCTCATCTCTTCATCCTTTTTCATCAGATACTCCAATCCTCTCACCAATCAGATAGCTATTGACATAGTGTGGAGTTGAGACATCAATCTCAGCAACTTATGAAAAATGCCTAAGCTAATTCTGAATCACCCAAAGATTATGTAAAATTTTAAAATAAATGTGTGTTTTTTAAAAAAGCTCGTCCCTCTTTTCTTACTTGTCATCTGTCATCTCCAGAGAGGACACCGCTGGAATCTGGAATCCCTAAACCCTCCCCCACTAGCTCCTCTGCAGTACTCCAGGAAAAGGGATGCTCACTTATGTGGCAGGATAGCATCTGTGAAATACTGACTGATTTATTGATTTTTCTCCCTTTTGCTTTTGCTTGGGTTCAAATGACTAAGCTGTTGTTTGTGCAGCACCTTAGGGAGAAAGCAAAATGAAAGAAAAGCACTTACCTTGTTTCCAAAAGCCTGAAACCCTTAAAGAAATGATGTCCTAAGGGAATAGCCTAGATATTTGAATAAAAATCCCAAGAAGAAGCAGGAATAAGGGGAGAAGGAATAATTCTGTTATCCCATCAACTGCTTACCTCCCATTATGGGTTGAAGATGTCCCCCTAAAATTCCTATGTCTAATCTCCTCAGAATTAAATGAACTTCTTTGGAAATAGGATTGTTGCAGAGGTAACTAGTTAAAATGAAGTCATATTGGAGTAGGGCGAGCCCCTAGTCCAATGTGACTGATGTCGTTACACGAATTTGGGGCTAGACATGCACATAGGGTGAATGCCATGTGGAGACAAAGGCAAAGATCAGATCAGATCAGAGATGGTTCTTAAAAGATTGCCAGCAAATCACCAGAAGCTAGGGAAGAGAAGCATGAAGCATTCCCCCTCATAGCCTACAGAAAGAACCCACCCTACTGACACCTCGATCTCAGACTTCTGGCCTCCAGAACTGTGAGGAAATATATTTCTACTGAAGCCACCCAGTTTGTGGTACTTGGTTATAGCAGTCCTAGCAAGTACTCCTGCTTATAACCCCCACCTACAACAGAATTGCTTGGAGCTGGAAAGAACAGTGAAAGGAGCTGGGCTGAGGGCCTGGAGAGAGTGTCCTGTGCCCTGCTCCCCAGTCAGATCTCTGGGAAGGACCTGCAAGTCCTTGGAGAGTGAGGCTTCACGGGGATGCAAGTCCAGGCAGATGGGACCTCAGGCAGCCTTGAAGAGATCCCATGCATGGAGACATACAGAAAGTCCCAAGTGAATGCTTTTTCCTGATGAGATCATGAATGAGGGACACCTGAGTAATGTTGCGTGGCCAGATAATGCCAAAGGCTGTTCTGATCCCTGCACCCAATGCCTTAGCATTTCAAGTCCGTGGAGTTCAGATGTAATGCCCAGGTTGACTGAGACTGGTTTTCTGCCTGGATCCCAGGAGAATGGGATCTCAAAACAGAAGTGACAGAAGAACAGATTTCGTTTGAGAGCTGAGATTCATGCTTGCCAAATTAAATGTCTCTAAATCTCTGTAAGATCCTTTGCACTGGTGAGCTGGGTGGTTTGGACCCCTCTGTCCAGGTTGGGAGGAAAGCTTCTGCAACCTCGTTGGGCTGCTTTTTCCCTGATTTCTACTCTTTCATCTGCTGATATTTTAAAGGTGTTTGTGTTGGGGGTGAGGGAGAAAAAGTGAGGCCCTGGCTCCTCTTTTTTTTTAAGACTTTATTTATTTATTTTTAGAGAGGGGGGAAGGGAGGGAGAAAGAGAAGGAAGGAAACATCTGATCTGTTGCCTCTCTAACACACCCTGACCGGGGACCAAACCTGCAACCCAGGCATGTGCCCTAACTGGTAATTGAACCGGTTATCTTTTGCTTTGTGGGATGATGCCCAACCAACTGAGCCACACCAGCCAGGGCCCTGGCTCCTCTTTACCTCACCAGCCACTAGGGAGAAGAGAGCACCCTCCCTTCACTCCTGGTCAGTGTGTGTTCTTAAAGCTAAAGTGAGTGTGTTGTAGGCAGCACAGCATTGGATCTTGTTTGTCTTTCATCCATTTACCTATCCTGTCTTTTTAATTTAAAAAATTAATCTATTTATACTTAAGTAATTATTGATAGGGTAGGGACTTCCTGTTACCATTTTGTTGTTTTCCGACTTTTGAGGATCCTTTTTTCCTTGCCTCTTCTCTTGCTATCTTTCTTTGTGGTTTGATGACTTTTTGTAGTGGTATGCATAGTGGAATCATATTCCTATGTAGTTGTAAATTTCAAAAGTTAGATTGCAAAAAGCCCACACAGTTAAAATTTCTCTTGAAAAATTCCTTAAAATGCCCATAATCCCCAATCTGTGGCCCTGAAAACTCAAAAACCTAATATTATCTTCTGTGTTTGTGCGTATTTTGTTATTCGTTTCTTGCCTTTGGGCTGAAGTCCCCCTTTCCCAGGGTAGTGAAGGCCTAACATTTGCTGGCCAAACATAATTTTGAAAGTGGACTTGCATTAGGCACAATATGAATTATTCTATGTAGTTACATAGATTGCTTCCAAAGGCCTACATAAGTCTTTATGCTTATCACACTCTTAGCAAAGATGGCCAAGCAAAGCTAACTCTGATGGGTCCGCATCTTCTCTGGGAAGCCTTATGTGAGTCCGCACATTCCTTCTTTCAAGGCTTGGGTCAGTGTCCCTCCTCAGGGCCTTCCCTTTCCATTCTGTAGTTTTTCCATGTAGATTGCTTTATAGTGAAGTTAACTGTTGTATGATAGGCTCCCTTGGGCTTGGGTCTCATTTGTCTTTACCCCTCCTGTCTACTACAGAGCCTGCTTCCCACAATAAACATTAGTTAAACTGGGAAGATGCAGTATTCTGGAAACAATACTAACCAATGTATGAGGGCTATATAATAATAAGGTAAACTTTTAAACTGAGTATAAGCTGTGACTGAGAGAACTAAATTTCATATTAAAAACAAGAAATATGTAGAGAACATTTCCTTCCTGGATGTTTCATGTCCTTTGATAAGGGGACCGGTAAGAAACCCAAAGGACTATGCATCAGTAAACCCATTTTGTGTCTAAAGCAAATGCTCTTGTTCTCTAGGAGCAGAGTTTTATTACCCCAGCCTTCTGGAAGAATAAAATCAATAGGAAAGTTAATAAAATAATGAAATACCCAAATCCCTGATGATGGGGCTTCAGTGGTCAGAGAGCACCTGTGGACGGGGTTTGCCCTGTTTCCTTCACGGCTTCACATCTTTGTGGAGCCTTTGTAGATTCTCGTACCAGAGGCAACAGTCACTTATGTTATCAACTTTATCCTGCAAAATTCTTTACTTCTTTAAGTACATAAGAAAGGAATTTCAGCAAAAAAGAGAAATACATCCAGAAAATGTGCCATATTTTACTTTGTTTTAGTAACACCTTTATTTCATGGTTACAGTAGAAAACTATAAAAAAATACAGATAGTAGTAAAAGAAAAGTACATTTTTAAATATTTCCTCCCAGATTGAAATATGACATGTCTTTCTAAAGGGTGAATTAAACCAGCTTCCTGTTATCAAATGTCACATTTTCCACAGTGAGGGTGGCACGTCAAAGGCCAAAAGGCTCCTAGACTTTTACTCTTAGGCAGCTTGAACCAGGAAATTAGTGTTGGGGCATGCCAACTCTTGCCTGCATTAAAAAATCAGCAGCTCTGTTGAGGTAGAGCTGACACACAGTGAACTGCACATACTGACTGTGATCATTTGATAGGTCTTGACTCATGTGTGCAGCTAGGACACTATCACACAATCAAGATAAGGAACATACATATCTGCCACTTCCTAATGTTGTAACATATGGCCTGGGTCATAGGATAGGCAAATACTTAAATTTTTAAAGAGCTATCATATTAATTCTTAAAGTGGTTGTACTGTTTTACATTCCTATCAGCAATGTATGATGGTTCTAGTCTCTCCACTTTTGGTAGAATGAATAATTTTAGACATTCTTAAAGGTGTATGGGGGGTTCTCTTATTTTGATGTTAATTTACAATTCTGAAATGACATAAGGTTCATCATCTTTTCATGTGCTTATTTACTGATTTTCTTTAGTGAAGAATATTTTCAAATAATTTGTCCATTTTGGACAAATTGTTACCATATTACTAAATTTTAAGAGTTCTTTATATATACTGGACAAAAGTCATTTTTTGGCACTTGTGATATATAAATATTTCCTTCCAATCTGTGGGATTTGTTTGTTTGTTTGTTTGTTTTTGCATTATCTGGACAGTGTCTTCTACAGAGCAGACATTTTAATTTTTCATAAAGTCTAATTTATTCATTTTTTTCTGGATTATGCTTTTGATGTTAGACCCAAGGCATTTTGCACAATCCAAGGTTATAAATCTTTTTAAAGTTGTCTTCTAAATGTTTTAAACCTTTAGGTTTTACATTTAAGTCAATGATCCCTTTTGAGTTAATTTTTGTATTGGTAAAATGTATGAATAAAATTTCTTTTTTTTTGCATATGGATATCTAGTTGTTTCAGCACAATTTGTTGCAAAGAACATCCTTTCTCCACTAAATAACCTTTCCGCCTTTACCAAAAAAATTGGTTGACCATATGTGTGTGGATCTGTTCCTGGACTATTACATTGTATTGGTCTGTTTGTCTCAATACTAATTCTACACTGTCACCATTACTGTAGTTTTAAATTTGCATATTTTCAAAATTATTTTGTGTATCTTAAGTCCTTTTCATTGCCATACAAATGTTAAAATTAGCTTGTTTAGATCTACAAAAAAAAAGACACTGCTAGATTTTGGTTGGGATTGCACAGAATCCATAGATCATTTTGGAGATGACTGATGTCTTCACAATGTTAAGTCTTCCTATCCCTTACCAGAAGGAGAAGAAGAAAAGCAAGGGATCAAAAACCTAGTTGAAAAAGTAATGAAGGAAAACTTCCCTAACTTGATGAGAGAAAAAGTCACACAAATCCAGGAAACACAGAGAGTCCCAATCAAGAGGAACCCAAAGAGGCCTACCTCAAGACACATCATAATTAAAATGGCAAAATTTCAAGACAAAGAATCTTAAAGGCAGCAAGGGAGAAACAGGAAGTAACATACAAGGGAGCCCCAATAAGGCTAACAGCTGACTTCTCAATGGAAACATGTCAAGCCAGAAGAGAATGGCAAGAAATACT